GAAACACATCGAGTCTATTTAATGGCTAAATGATCATCTTATATGACATAAGATATGACATAAGAGTATCATTCCTAATTTTATAAATTGTAAATTGAATTTAATAAGCCCGCTTTTCGGTGCACCGATTAATTGAAATAAAAAATAAGCCAAATGGTAAAATATGATTCTAATGTACACTCGCATGTGAGTCAGGAACCAGAACACAAGAAAATGCAGCAGGTGCATGTGGATTGTCTTTGTTCTTATGTGTTAAAAAAAGAAATAAAACAAAGCCACATAAAGCTAGAGGCGCGCAGGTCCAATAAAGACAAATGATCCTTGGGATTGACCAACTTAGTTTATTTATTTTTACTTCATTTAGGACTAGCTTTTGCCTTTAACCTCCACTCTTGGACCATTTGATTCTATAACTGCCACAGCTCAAAATTTCTAACCAAACTATATTGCATGTGAAATCAAATGTATCTTAACAGACGGCCATGTGACATCAAATCTATCTTAACAAACTAAACAGTTGAATTATTGTTTAAGGACAAATATATTGTATAATAGAGTCCAATATTTGATTACCGAACACGTGAATCAATGAATACATGAATTTTTTTTAGTTTAACTAAGGATTCAAATTTGAGTCCTATACGTAGTTGCATTAAAATTTTGATAAAGAAAGCTTTAGCGTTTTTCTAATCTTATCCGGCTTAAATTTAATTAGTCGAGTAATTTATAAATTGATGAAGTTTTTTTTAAAGTTGAATATTGAATTAATATTTCAAAAATAATTGATTAAAATATATTAAGTTAATATAGAATTGTGTTTAACAAAAAAAAAGAAAAAAATTGTGAGCTTATAGTTATATATATATATATATATTTTTTTTTTGGTACATTGCCAGGAGGTATCCCCATTCAACCTTCTCCGGGCACTATGCCCTCGGGGTACGGCCCGTTTGGGCTAGCCCCTCATTGTAACAGTGGCTGCACTAAGCTTCGCAACCGGAGAAAGGACGAGACTAATCCCTCAATCAAAGATTTTTTGGCTTATCCTCTGGCCCCCAAAGATTTTCCAAGAAACTGCTTGAGACAGGGTTTGATCCCTGCACCAAGCAATCCCTTGGGAGCTCAGCTGCCAACTGAGCTACCTTTGGGGGTTTATATTAGGGTAATAGTTTTCTCGTGCAGTAGGAGAAAATTATTAACTCCAATAAATTCATTTGTGCAGATGAGGTCCATGTCAGGAAGAGAGAGAAAAATAAAATAAAATGGAATCTATATTGAATTTGTGTGTATGAAATAATTTCTTTCTTTTTTTTGGAGTTACCCAACCCTAATTATCTCTTTGAGACGAGTTGGCTCCCTGCGGTATCCCTACGAGCTTCGACTCTTTGAGCCTGCTATGGGACTAATCCGGAGTGCGGGGGAACAGGATGGCTAAAGGTTCAGCCCCCTCCCCAAGAATGCATTCAGCGGGAATCGAACACGTATCCAACCCCACTAACTCAGAGCCAAGTTACCAACTGAGCTGCACCCATTGGGTAAATAATTTCTTTCTTATACAAAATGAGAATATATATATATATATATATATATATATATATATATATATATATAATGTGAAAATTTAGCAAATAATACCTATATGTCATAAAGAAGATATCTATCTTAACACAGTAACTAAGATATGGATGTGTTTATGAGATCAAGGAAAAAATATATGGTTTTGTTTAACATAGTTTATGAAAAGATAAATGGTGAGAGATGTAACCTAAGTAAGGGATAATGTAAAATAAACACAAGATCAACGTAATCTCAGGAGGTAGGGTCTGTAGAATCATGAGGGATGGCCTTTCGTTTTCAGGGTTTGAGGAGGTTGGACATTGGCATCAGCAGCAAAAGCCAATAGCAAGCATGGTCTTGGGGGGGCCCAATTGCTGTGTGTGTCTCTTTCTTTCAGGTAATTGCCAATTAGGTTTGCCAAGTGTTGCTAATATACCCGCTTTTTTTATTTTTATTTTTGGTAAAGGCTGATATACACACTTTATTAAAAACTCTCATTTGTCTCGTGTGAATGAATGACCCTAATATGGAAGAACATCACCTTTATATCTTTTTGATTCTACGGTGTTGAAATTACTTATGCGGAACCAACCAATAAAAGTTGAGAGAGAATCTGATGCAAACCCGAAAAATGGTTTCAAAAGTTTATTCAAAATTTAATGGTGCCATGTGTCTATATATATATACAGAGAGAGAGAGTCACAATTGCCATAATTTTATACGTTTAATAAAAAAATTAATCAAGATTAATACACATACAAAGATACATATAAGCAGCTGTAGTTAGCTAAGATTTATGGAAGTTTTGATTAGTTATTTAGTAATAATTAATAATAACAATGACTTCATACCAACTAAAATCACATATTTATCATCACTCACATGAATCAATGGTAAGAGGTTGTTTCAATATAATTAATAGTTTTGAGTTAGAAGAACTTTTTTTTTCGGGGGGAAAGAGAATTTCACTGTTTATGTGATCCTATTTAACTTGAATCAAATTAATCGAATATTTGACAGAGAAATTTAAAAAATAATAAATAAAAATCACACTTTGTATGCTAAAGAGTTGTAGTTTAAGTAATACAAAGGATTAGATTCTGTGCATATTGTTTTTTTATGTTTTATCAACAGTATACATGATATTTTTTAAAGAAGAAAAATACATACCAACACTCGTATACTGTAATTTTTACAGTAAAGAACAAACTTAGTAGATGATCGTGAATAAAATTAAACTAAATGTGAGAATTTGGATTGGGGTAAAAGACAGAAAAATAGCTAAAATTAAGTAACAAGGCCGAGATTAAAGTTGAGCTAAATAAAAGTAAATGTGTAAAAAAAAAAAAATTCCACTTGATGAAATAAAAAATGCGAACAGACTTGAATAAAAAAATAAAAAAAAGGCTGATTTGAGCAGCCGGTAGTTACACTCAAGTCAAATAAGCAACACTGAACAAACAAGGATGTGAGATGATCTAGAAACAGAGCAATAAGACTCTTCAAAATTACACTCACATATATTATTTAGTAATATATATATATATATATATATATATATATATATATATATATATATATATATGGGCAGGATATTCTTACACCGGTGTAAGAGTTAGAAGTCTTACACTCTATCTTGACCATTGATCAACTTATATCCAATGACTTACATTACTTAAAAATTTGAGCCGTTAGATAAAAATGGAATCAACGGATAAGATTGAGAGTGTAACTTACACTGGTGTAAAATGATCCTGACCCTATATATATATATATATATATATATATATATATATATATATATATATGATTTAATGTTTCTATAGTAAATGCAAATAAGATATCTACACTTACTCCCAAAACAACATTGTTTTAGGTTAAAAGATTAAAATATTATAAAGATAAATATTATTATAATTTTGAAATAAATTATAATTATAAAAATATCTTGATTTCTGTCCTAAAATTATGTCATTTTGGGCTCAATGCAGATAACTTATATGTGTTCACTGCAGAAAAAATAAACTCTCTCTCGGATAAGACTAAGAAGTTTTACTTCTCATTTCAGCTTTTGATTTTCATTTATCTAATATTTATAATTTATTAAGTTATATCAATTAATTAATTATTGATTTTAAATAAATTACAATAGTTAAATAGATGAATATATAAAGAGATGGAACTTTGACTCTCGGATAAGGCTAACAAGTTTTACTTCTCATTTCAGCTTTTGATTTTCATTTGTCTAATATATATAATTTATTAAGTTATATCAATTAATTAATTATTAATTCTAAATAAATTACAATAGTTAAATAGATGAAGATCAACCATTGAAATGAGCAGTAAATTTTTTTAATTTTATATTAAAGTCAAAAGACCCCTTATATATATGAGAAAAATATTTGTCATTTTAAAGGACATAATTTTACATTATTGTAAATAAAACGATGTCGTTTTGATTTATAATTGATGATTTTTTACATTTTTTTTCTCCGTAAAATTTGGAAGAGAGAGAAAGTTGAGGCAAGAGAAAGTAAAAAATCACCAATTATACATAAAAACAATGTTGATTTATCTAAAAAGACACAAAGTAGTGTTTTTTAAAATGACAAATGCTTTTTCCTACACGCGCGCGCACATATATATATATATATATATATATATATATATATATATATAATTTACTCAAGTAACTTTTTATTTATTAATATTAGAGATATTGTAAATTATACATATACATATTTTTTATTTGTATTTCACACATAATAAAAAGGCAACATGGTTTCATCTTGTGTAAGGTGGCACAAGTATTTTTAATAGGGAAGGAATACATTATAAAAGATTATCTTACTCTGCCGTCTCCAAGAGATTGATTACATGAATTGAAATATTGAATTGTGGTCTTTATGGAGGCAACACCCATATTGTGCCGAAATTTCAATTCATAGTTGTTATTGTATAAGAAATTTATAAACTTGAAACTTGAAACTTTAAAGTGCACATTAAAAATAAATATATAGTTTTAAATTTAAAAAATATGATATATACTTTTTTATTTTATTTTTAATTCCTTAAATGCATTAAAAAATTCACAAAATATAATTACTTAGGTCTCCATAAGAAAAAATTTCTCCCGCTCAAAGCAACTATCATTCATCATCCTTCTTAACATTACTCGTTGTTGATTATTGATTAGGTCAAACAGAAAAAAAAGTCTTTTTTTTTATTTACCTAATCCCATAACTAACCATAAAAGCAGGATGATATTTTTAATTTATACATATACTTTTTAATATATTTAATTAATTACTTTTAATTTTTTTTTTTGGGTTATGGATTTTGCTTCTTTTTAAAGTTGAAAGTTGAAGCCATCTTCCATGTTCACCAGCCGCCTGTAACAAGAACAACAAGAGAGAGAGAGAGAGACAAAGAGAGAGAGGAGGGTGCATTTTCATTCTTGTCAACCATAGGGCCAAACCAAAAGGCATCTTCATCTTCACCAAAGATTTAAGCTTTTTTGTTTTTCCTTCTTCTCTTATAAATATATATATATATAATTAGTTATATAATCCTAATCTTAATCCCTTCAAGTATTGTACCATTGTTGTGGTTTGTTTGAGCCATTATAGAGCAAGCAAGAGGATATTTTTCTCACTTTGTTGTGGGGGGGCTATAAAGAGAAACCCTTTGGGGGCCAGACACCTACTCACTCACACATAGAGCTCTACAAAGGGGTTCCCAGAAACAAAAAAAAAGCAGAAAAAGTAAGAACCTTGTAAACCCCGTCATTGTGAACAAGGTTCCTCATTATTCTCTCCCTTGTGGGGTTGCTGAAAGTTCTCACCTTTTCTATTTTTTGTTATCTTCCCATTTTTTTTCTTCTTATGATATCTATGTAATGTAATGTCTGTCACTGCCATGTATGCATCTATCTAGCTACCTATCTATCTTATCCACACCAACCCACTTTCTGTTTTATACAAGAAATCGTCAACTACATTGGCTTTTGTACTGTTGTTGTCATCATTTTCATAGTTTTATCAGAGCAACCAAAAAGTTTTAAGTGGGTCTCAGTATAAGTACTTTAGTGGTGCTGGTGTTGGCACTATATCTGTCTTGTTTTTATAGTCCTAGTTTGTGTTGTTGTTGTTGTTGTTGTTGTTGTTGTTGTTGTTTTCTCATAGTACTGATATCTGGGGTTTGTGTCTTTGTGCATTTTGCCTGGGACAAGAAGCAGAGGACCAATTTTAAATATCCAACGTAGGGGAAGAAAAAATCAAAGGAGAAATGAAGTACGTGTTGGTGACAGGTGGTGTTGTAAGTGGACTTGGGAAAGGAGTCACTGCTAGCAGTATTGGACTCCTCCTCAAAGCTTGTGGTCTTCGAGTTACTTCTATCAAGATTGGTATTTTTCTACTTCTTCTTCGGATTAATCTCAATATATTCACTTTAAATATGTAAAAAGTGCATGATATTCTAGTATTAGAGGGGGTTCTAAACTTCTAATACTAGAATATGACGCACCTTTATATTTCTAATGTTATTAGATTGATTTTATCAACAAAAATTTCCATTCAACTGATTTGCTCACTTGATAACCAACTTGACTGCTTCCCTTTATTACCTAATGGAACTTTTGCTCTTGTTGAACAAGAGGGGTTTTTCTTATATGGTACAATGGTTTTGAGCTGATTTATTTTCTTCTTTGATTTTTGGAGGATTCCTGATTCTCCTGCATTGTGCTCCTTTCTCCTCGATGTTTTCTTTTTTTATATTGATGAAGAAAAGGAGCAGTTTCAATTTTGTGCTCAGTATTTCTCTTCTATCCTATAAGCAATCAAAATCTTGTCTTTCTGTTTTTTATTATGTTATGTAAAATATTTCTATTTATCCTTTTTTTTTTAGATTTTTTTTTTTTAAAAAAAAAATTTATCTATGATTTGCAGATCCCTACCTGAACACTGATGCTGGAACCATGTCTCCTTTTGAGCATGGGGAGGTTTTTGTCTTAGATGATGGTGGTGAGGTAAATAGTTTAGTTTTCTTCCCTGGGGATGCCAATTACTAGTTTCTTTTCAGGAATTTAATGCAAGATTGAGATTGAGATTGTATTTTTTCCCCCTTCTTCCTTCCTTTTTCTCATTTTACTTGAAAGTACAGCTATATATGTCTTTTGTTTGTTCACTCAGGTGATTGGGCTGGTTTTAGTTATAATTACAGAGGATAACTGTAATATTTTTTCTTTAAAGTTTTAGTTTGGAATTTTTATTCTTTCATTTTCTCTGCATTGAAGGTTGATCTTGATCTTGGAAACTATGAAAGATTTTTGGACATCAAATTAACTCGCGACAATAATATCACGACTGGGAAAATATATCAGGTGAACAAACTAACTTTGAATGTATTCTTCTTTGTTTTTGACTAGGCAGGCCTATGGTTTCTTATTGGTTTTTTATCATGATTGTTTATAGTCTGTTATTGAGAAGGAGAGAAGAGGAGATTATCTTGGGAAAACTGTCCAGGTCTGTTTTATCATAATGATTTTTCCTCTTTGAAGCTATTTTAATGGTTGCTGGTGACTTCATTTTCATTTCATCTTTGCTTTATTTGTAGGTTGTTCCGCACATAACAGATGCCATTCAAGAGTGGATAGAGCGTGTGGCAAAGATACCAGTTGATGGAAAAGAAGGGCCAGCTGATGTTTGTGTCATTGAATTGGGTGGAACTATAGGTAAATTTATACTCGTAGAAAAACCTTTTATGCTAAGGTAGAACTTTATTTTCAGTACTATTATAATTCCCAAAATTTTCCGTAGTCTAAATTCGAAAATCATGGGTGAGGTAGAAGCAGAAATTCAAAATGGTTTCTATGTGGCAAATGATGAGAGGAAATGGTATTGATATTATTGGTACTGTTAAAACTCTAGAACTTTTATACTGTGAAACCTTCATTTAAATTGATTTTTCATTAATGCAGGGGATATTGAGTCTATGCCTTTTATTGAAGCACTTGGCCAATTTTCGTACCGTGTAGGTAATGCTTGTCGAGCTTCAAACCCTTTTACTTTAATAATTTGTATAAACCAATTTGGTTTTTTGATGTGCTTCAGTGAATCAGTCTTGCTAATCTTTTTTTTTTTAAATTTTTTTTAGGCGCTGGCAACTTCTGTTTGGTTCATGTCAGCCTGGTTCCTGTTCTCAATGTTGTCGGTGAACAGGTATACTGTAAAATATGTTATCAGTGCAACATTTATTTATATTATATTTTCTTATTAGAAATAAATGAAATATAAAACTTAGTCAAGTAATACAACTATCAAATTGAAATTTGAAGTTTCTGTCAATTGGTCTGGACTATAAATAAACCAAATGGAATGTTGTTTTTGCATCATTTTTAGTGGTATAATCAATGCTTTTTAATCTGCAGAAAACAAAGCCAACCCAGCACAGTGTTCGTCAGCTTAGAGGATTAGGTTTGACTCCTAATCTACTTGCTTGTCGCAGTTCAAAGGTATGTCTCTTGTCTTATTTTCTTTTTCTTATTGTTCTGTTCGTTTCATGTAATAATTATTAAAGAATCTATCTTTTACTTGTCCTTTTACCAGGAACTTGATGACAATGCTAAGGCAAAACTTGCTCAATTTTGTCACGTGCCGGTAATATGACATTAATGTTTACAACTTTGACTTCGCCTATCAAAAATGCCTTAAATATATTCTTAACACAGTTTTGTATCTGCAGTCATCGCACATACTTACTCTCCATGATGTTCCAAATATTTGGCACATTCCTTTGCTATTAAAAGTAAGTAATTCTTAGTATTTTGGAAACTCCTATCTGTGGTTGTCTTCCTGGAATATAGGAACCTTATTTATGAAGTTTACTTCGTTAATTTCATGATTTGGTGAACTGTAATTTTTTGTGGAAAGTTGAATTGCATGCTTTTTCATTAAGTGGTTTAATTAATATAAGATCCTGAATTTTTTCTTTTGAATTTATTTTCTGTAACAAATAGGACCAGAAGGCGCATGAGGCGATCCTGAAAGCATTAAACCTGCTAGGGTTTGTTTGACAAACTCATTCTTTTATTTGGTGTATAACCCCGTCCCTTTCCCTAGAAAAAATCCTCATCTGCTATGTTTGATGTTGAGAGAATGCATTGTTAGTTAGATCCGGTGTTTCTGTCTTTCAACTAATAGTCCTATTATTTGCAGTGTTGCTACAGAGCCTAATTTGAAGGAGTGGATAACGAGGACAAAAGTTGCCGACAAATGTCATGAAACTGTTGAGTCTCAAACATCTCAAACATATTATCTAAAGGGAAAAAAAATAAAGATATGAATAAATATTGATTTCTGTGAATAGTGACAAGTGTTGGGCTTACAACTATTTTGCGCTTCACAGGTTAGAATTGCGATGGTGGGAAAATACACTGGTCTTTCAGATGCGTATCTTTCTGTTGTGAAGGTAACTTACTCTAAAAATAGTAATATATAATAGTTTCCATTTACTTTTGGCATTCTTTGCAACTTGCATTTTAATATATAAATTTGTTAAAAGAGGCATATTGAAACTGAACTCTCTGCTTTAAGATATTATTAAACTGAACTCCAGTGTACCATAACCTAATAAACTGGGTTTTTTGTGCAGGCACTTTTGCATGCTTCTGTAGCTCGCAATCGCAAACTTATTGTGGACTGGGTTCCAGCTGGGGATCTTGAAGATGTTACTTATAAAGAGGTGATTACTGATCTTTCTGTTGTACTGTGCATGTTAGTTAACTTTTTGGTTTTCCCTTATGCCAACCCTCTGATCATTAATGTACTATTGCAGGATCCTGATGCATATAAAACTGCTTGGAGTCTTTTGAAGGTTTTCCTACTATTTGGACTTAATTTCTTATTATATTGCTAATGTATATTTGGTTGTGTTTAAATGTGAGATTATTTAGTGGTTTTTCCTAAATGGACTTATGTTGCAGGGTGCTAATGGGGTTCTAGTTCCAGGAGGTTTTGGTGATAGAGGAGTGCAAGGAAAAATCCTTGCTGCTAAGTATGCTCGAGAAAATAATGTTCCATTTCTTGGCATTTGCTTGGGTATGCAGATTGCTGTCATTGAGTTTGCACGATCTATTCTGGGTCTGCATGATGCCACTAGCACAGAATTTGATCCTGAAGCCAAGAACCCTTGTGTCATATTTATGCCAGAAGTATATTATCCTATACTCCTGTACTGCATGAGTTGATTATATTGTTCCTTTTGAGAAGCTACTTAAACTGGTTTGTATTCTTTTGATAGGGTTCAAAGACTCATATGGGGGGAACTATGCGTCTTGGTTCAAGGAGAACTTACTTTCAAGTTTCTGAATGCAAATCTGCAAAGTTGTAAGAATTGAGAACCAAACTCAAGCTTACTTACATATGTATAGCCATGCCATCATCTCCTAAGGGCACATCATTATTCTTATTCTTTAAGCCAAAAATATAAATCATTATCACGTGCATGATAAAAGATTATTTCAAAATGTTAACTTGTTGATCTCCATCATACATTGATATTGATATGATACTATCATTTGGAATTCTTCATAGGTATGGTAATGTTAGCTTTGCTGATGAGCGACATCGGCATAGATACGAGGTAAATTGTGTTTGATATGCAGAAACTTTATTTATGGGTAAAGATGCAAGCATAGTTGCTAAGAGTAATTGTAATGCTGTACAGGTTAATCCTGACATGATATTTCAGCTAGAGAGTGCTGGTCTATCTTTTGTTGGCAAAGATGAAACTGGGAGGCGCATGGAGGTGTGTATTTACGTGAAACCGTAATAGCTTGCATCTTAATATTTATGCAAATAAGTAATTATAATTTTGGTAATTATTTGCATGAGTGCAGATAGTTGAACTGCCTAGCCATCCTTTTTTTGTTGGCGTTCAGTTTCACCCTGAGTTCAAGTCCAGACCAGGGAAACCTTCTCCACTCTTCTCAGGTATTTTCTCTGGAGAGTCATTACTCATATTTTTTCATTGAAATTCATTTATTGATGTTGTCATTGCAATATGGAATCTTATGGTTATAATTGATTAACCTTTTTCTGTGGAATGAATTACTAATTATATTTTTGCCCTTCAAATTTGTCATTGAGGTACCTGTTGGTTTTCGTCACATGTCTATTATTGATGAAACCTGATTAGGGTTGAGCTGTACATGGAATTTGATGCATTGACTGAGACTGTTTCTATCTCTCCACTGTCAAAATTATCTTGTGGGGCTAAACATGTATCTGTATGTTTAACTTTGAAGTTCCAAGCTTAGTTGAAATATGTATCTATTAGTTCTTTCAATCTTGGATAGCAAAGTCTCTCATCTATTATGAGGAAAACACATTGTCAATTTTAGTTAATTAATACTGCTTATGCGTAAGCGGACAAATCTAGAGCAGGGTTTGAATCCGGGAAACAGTGTACATATGAAAGGGTAAGACTGCCGTACAAGGATTGCCCTTATCTCTATCTTTACTAGTCGGGGTTTAATGGGAAGTGGCACTAATACTGCCTATGACTAAATGATTGTATGTTCTCTGGTTCTATTACCTATGTTTTCTACACATCTATATTGCTATCTTTTATGCATTTTTTATCTTTATATAATGTTATATACTACTATGCTGCGAGAAACAGTTACATTGTTTACACTAAATATAATTGCCTCATTTGATAAAACAGGATTAATAGCAGCAGCATGTGAACAGAGGAGGAAAGTTATGGTGCCTAGTAATGGACACGCCAAGTTAACTAATGGAATATATAATAATGGACATTCACCAATACTGAAAGCCCACCAAAATGGAAATGGCTTCAAATCACCCAATGGTTATGGTGTATATACCAATGGCAATGGTGTGTATGTGGATGGTAGTTGTTAGTGATCTGTGTTTTGCTACTTTTCCAATAATCAATGGTATAATTATGTCCAAGGTTTGTCCTCGGTTGCAATGTACAGTTAGTGAGTGGATAGGTCTTTTAGCTGGGGACTTGTCTCAAAGCATGAAACAAATTTTGAGTCTAACAAGCTTTTGTATTTTCCTAGTACGGTTGTCCTATGGTGTGGCAGTTGTAGCCACCGTTGATTTTCACTTTTGGTCTAACATTGGCCAAAACTACACTCACTCAATCATGCCAAATATTTGGGCTTTGGTGGATTTTCCGTGCAATTTAGGATTTTTCTTCTATGTATACAGGCTGAAGGTGTAAGATTTTACTATCGACCAAGTGTCTTCTGAGTGGCTATTAATGTAAACTCTTATGTTATGAACATTTAAGTTGAATTTTGTTTGGTACTCGTGCTTTGATTTGATTTTATTTTGTTTTGTAAATTTAAATTATCAGTTGTGGAAAATGTTGTTCCCTCACCCCCAAAAATTAAATAAATAAAAAAAGATATTGCATGTAAGACAACTAAAAAGCAAAAGAACAGCAAAGGAAGAACGGAGATGGTATTTGTACATTTTCACGTATAAAAATAATAAAATGTGGTTAGTGGAATTACTATACAAAAAATATATAAATAAATATCCCTGTTCAATTGTATTAGCAACAAATCAATTGTTTAATCCTTTTATTTGAAGTGAATAATTGGCATGTCCGGATGATTATTGCAATAAACAGATTTGCAGGTCTATAGTAGTTGAGTGCACAAATTTCAAATAGACCGGGTCTGAGAAGCATTGGATCCCATTTGGTTTCCTACATTGAGTTTCTAATTGAGCTCTTAATGCTGTACACGAAACAATTAAATTTCATAAATTTATTTAATGAACGAAATAAGAGTTGTTTCTATAAATTTTAATTTAATTATGATTTTTATATACTTTATTCCTATTTTCTTTGTTTAAGATGTTATACTTTGATACGATTAATACAAGTTGATATTTAGATTTTAATTATAAATTGGGCTTTATTAGTCTCCTTTCACATAAGATAGTTATCTTATGTTATCTTATGTTGTAGAGAGAAAATGAGTGGGTCCCACAATTACAAGAAAAAAGGAAAAAAAGAAAAAAGGTGGGATACGAAAATCGAAGTGAAAGAGCATGAGAGAACCTATCTTATGTAAAAGGAGATGAATATTTCCCTTATAAATTTAAATTTTATGACGAATAAGATTTATACATATGTTAAAAGGTGAGGGTTGAGAGAAATATAAACTCAATTTACCTTGATTCGGTCACCATCACTTGTAACTTAAGTCCAGACTGAAATCACTCAATAGTTTTCCAATTCCACCAAGCTTCAACGGGTGTTTGGTAAACCGCTACTACCACCAAGTTTTCTGGTATTTGGGAACCTTATAACTTTCACAAAATTTATAGGTATTTCGCAACCTTCACAACTCTTACCAAACTTTCCTAGGTGATGATGGGCTACCTCTCAATTACTAAGTGTCTCACTACCCTTTAACTCGAGATTACAATAGGGATTGTGTTAAAGTGTAGATAATACAAATTGAAGCTCTATGAGTATATGATCTTTCACAAAAAAAGAGCTCAAAGACTTTAAATGATCAAGAATGAGTTATGCAAGTGTAGGAGCAGTAAAATCTATCAAGGAAGGCTCAAAATATGATTCAATAGTGTCAAAACTTAGTTGGAGACGTAATTAATGAGTATATATACCTTTTGGACCAAAACCAGTCATTTATAGCCATTAATACTTATTGGCTAGTAAGTTATTGATTACTTTTCGTGGAGTAATCGATTACTTTCATTAAGTAATCTGTTATTTTCTCTCTTATGAAGTATTCGATTATCAATCAAGAAAGTATTTGAATACTTTCTTGACAACAACCAATTATGCAGCAAATTTGAGTTTAAATGCATTCCAACTTGCTTCCAACAACTTTTTATGAAAGATCTTGACTTAATAATATGTTTTGAAGTTATAAAGCATGTCAAGTACCTTTTCCATGAGTTTTTTAAATTTCTTTCAAGTATATAAAACCATGGATGATGCAAGTATGAAAATAAGTTTACTTTGAACTCATGTAATGTAATTCAACATATACCCTTACATATGAGTGAAAGAAACTGACCTTGAAGGTCGAGGCATGTGAGAGGGAAAAACAAAATTTTTCGAGCGGAATAACACATACCATATCAAGAAACATGCTTTAGGGCATGGATGTTACCTTGTTTACTTTCCAAAACTCGAGGATGATCAAGATGAGGCTTGAAGATGCAAGCCCTCTAATGTTGATCCACACCACCCTTTGTCAAGACGGAAGAACTCTTCTTCAAGGCCACCAACGAAAACACCAATGGAGGCAAGCTATGCGCCCAATGTGTGAAGGAGGAGGCTAGGTCAAGGTGTTTAGAAGAGTGAATATTCAACAAGAATAGACACAAAAGTGGCGCATGAATTTACTTTGAAAAAGGCTAGGTTATTTCAAAACTCTCTTAAGAAAAACCTGACAAAAGGAACCCACAAGGAGATGAGAGAATAAGTTAATTAAAATCAGATTTTCTTCACTTAAATAAAGCCCTATGTAGCGCACACTAGGGGGGGTGAGTGGAGTTGTTGCAAAATTCAAATCTTGTCAACAACCTCCTCTCACATCCTCATGATATCAAGTGAATATCTCAACAAGAATCTGACTCAACAACCATCATATGACCAGCCATATGGTGCGCCCCACTTGGCCTCATAACAGTCCAGATACGTTGAGCAGATGCATTCAAACTTGAACCAACTGTCTCACTTATTCTCTCAACAAACCAAATCTGACTGGAGCTCATTTGGTTGATCCTATGACCATCATCAGATGCCAAAATCAGCGCTCCATATCCTCACTAGAAGATTCTCAAAGATCTCCTCTTGATATTTGGGATTTGTTCCAACAAGATCTTATCTTATCATTTTATTATGAAACAACTTTTCATAGCCAATTCAAATTCGAATTCAAACATTTGAATTCAAACGTTCATATATTTAAATTTTAAATTCAAATTCAAATTCAAATTTCAAATTCAAAATTCAAATTCAAAATTCAAAATTCAAAATTTCAAATTTCAAATTCAAAATTCAAAATTCGAATTTCAAAATTCAAATTCAAATTTCAAAATTCAAACATTTGATAATTAATTTAACTAATTAAATTAATTAGTAATGTCTTGGACCATCCAAGCCCATTAATTAACCATGCGCCCTTTTTTCCTTTTGGTGGGCTTCCAAACTTCTTCTTGGGCTAACAACCATTATTAGGCCCAATAACTTTAATGCTATATTGTAATAACAATAAGGTGTTAGTGTGTGACCCATTAGGCCTAACATAGCCACTGACATAAATGGGCTTGGGCCCAATAAGCCCACAACCCATCTAATGACAACACAGAGCACTAGCAATGCTTTGTTGCCCCAGAGCTAGTTAGGTTAATGACATAATCATCCTATTACACATATCTGGTTGCCGTATGTATTTCCTTTCGTCTCGGTTACCTTCCCATAAAACTTAGGGTAAGGAAGCGTATCAACCCTTGCGGTTTAGGGTAAGCTTTATTCGAAATAGGGAATCTTCAATTTACTGACTCTAAAGGCAGATCATCTCATGATCTCTTTTATTATGCATAGATTCCCGAGTCCCTGTAAATGTCATCCCAATTTCTCCGGTTTACAAATAACCTAATCTCTCAAAGAGATTTGACGAATTCCTTCAGCTTATCACCCTAGCCCTGTGCTTTTTCAGGACAAGCCCAACAGTGTACCTATGAGTCTCCATGTTTCAGGCAGACGAGGTATACAATCAAAGCATGCCTTCTAGAACATAGTCTAGGTAATAACTTCTGGTCTAAGGAAAGACATACCCAAATATAAAGAGACTACCTAATGATACTATCTGTGAGATTTCCTCATAGAGTCTCTTTGTGGGTCTGTTCAGTGCGAGCTATACCTTTATAGGTCCACCCACGACTTTAGCTAAGACATCTCCATATCTGTAGCACACGAGGTCTTTACCTTGTATCCAAATACAAGTAGATAAGTCGTGCTAGTCTTACCCGAGATCACTGATCCCCATTCTCAGTGTCTCTAGACTAGGAACATAAAATTAGGAATAAACGTGTGGTATCCTTGAATCCTCATGATCGTGATCTCATCACAGATACTCAAGAGATACCTGTTCTATTCCAAGGGGTTTATCCAGTTACTCATATAAAATATTAACAATAATATCGAGACAAAATATGAAACAGGATAAAGAGTGCTTTTATTTATTTGCGACAATATAAAAGGTCCACATATGTCGTAATCTAATCAAAAGATTGTCTCTAGGACATCCATATACTAACAAGCTCCCACTTGGCCTAGAGCCAATCTGACCTAAGTCGTAAAGCCTCATAATGACTATCATGTTTTCTCTTAGAAACAGCCTTTGTCAGAGAATCGGCTAGGTTATTATCTGTGGGAACATAATCCATCTTTACATCCTTCCTATCAATGATTACTCTAATCAGGTGATATCTGCGGAGCACATGTTTAGATCTTTGATGAGACCTAGGTTCCTTTGACTGCGCAATGGCTCCAGTGCTTTCGTAAAGCAACTGTATGAGCTCATCTACGCTTGGAACCACCCTAAGTTCAGATATGAACTTCTTGATCCACACGGCCTCCTTAGCCGCTTCTGAAGCAGCTATGTATTCAGCTTTTGTCGTTGAATCTGCTTTTGTTTCCTGCTTGAAACTCTTCCAAGATACTGCCCCACCATTTAAGGTGAATACGAACCCTGATTGTGACTTACAATCATCTTTGTCACTTTGAAAGCTGGCATCAGTGAACCCTTTCACTATAAACTCATCAACCCTACCATAGACCAGAAACGCATCCTTAGTTCTTCTTAAGTATTTAAGGATGGTCTTGACTGTTGTTCAGTGAACCTCTCCAGGGTCATACTGGTATCTGCTCTAATGCTTAAAGCATACGAGACATCTGGTCTCGTACATATCATGGCATACATGATGGATCCAATAGCCGAAGCGTATGGAATTCCACTCATGCGATCCTTCTCAGGCTGTGACTTAGGACACATAGCCTTTGAAAGGTGTACCCCATGACTGACTGGAAGAAAACCCCTTTTCGACCCTTCCATGCTAAACCTCTTTAGCATCTTGTCAACATACGTGGATTGAGATAAACCCAACAGCCTCTTGGATCTATCTCTATAGATCTTTATACCAAGTATAAAGGCTGCTTCTCCCAAATCCTTCATGGTGAAGCCTTTTGAAAGC